TATAATATAGTCAAATTATAACCATTGGGTTCCAATATGCGCAAGGCATTGGATCAGACTACCTAAACTTATAGAGCGGTCTGAACCTTTGCCAAGTTCGTTTCTCTCTGATCCGATCTGTGCGAGGCAGTAGGCTAGGTCACCTAAACTTATAGAGCAGCCTGCCACCTGCCACAATTAGTCCCTCAGAATAAAACAGAAGAAGGGCTGAACCACCTGAACTTATAGAGCGATTCAGACCTCCTCGTTCAGAACTAAAGAAACAATGAGAAACTCCCAAATAGACAAGGCAACCAGGGTACCTAAACTTATAGAGCGCCCTAAGCCTCTGAAAGTCAAACACAATCAACCCTCACAAGTCAGAGCAGTCAGGTCAACTAAACTTATAGAGCATCCTGACTCTCCATACAGTTCACAACACTGGGTCTCCCCAAACTTATGGGGACATCCCAGCCTCCAGAGCTTCAGGACAACTAAACTTATAGAGCGGCATGAGGCTCCATGCAAACCAAAGAGAAACAAAGCGCTTGGCTTCCCCAAACTTATGGGGACCTCCCTGCCTTAACGACCCAATCAAACCGCACACAATACCGCCTTCCTCCCAACCTTCCCCCAGATGCAACCTCTTTTTGTTCAAAGTCTGCTTTCAGGCAACCAAACAAAGTCTGAAGCTGACTCTGCTCACACATTCCTTTACTTAGTCTGAACTCGAGTCCTGAAAGTCAAACCAAAGTCGGCGTACAAGGTTCACGCAATATATTCAATCAATCATAGAAGGATGTACAGATAAGGGTTATAATCGGGTTTATAGAAGCAGTAAGGGAATTACCACTCAATTCCCTGCCTCCAGGACTCCTCCTGAGTCCCGACAGAGCTCCTGCAGTCGGTGGGGCTGACTCCCAGCAGAGTCTTGGTGCGGTCCTACGGGTTGCAATCCCGCCTGCCGCCTTCCTCTACTAACCACAGACGAGACTTAGAAGGAGAAGGAGAGAAATAGAACCGCTTAGTCTCTCAGATCCAGGGAAGGTGTGCTCAGACTCGCGTGAGAGGGCCTTCCAGTCTTCGATGCCTGAGGGCTCCACAGTGGTGGCCAAAAACACAGCAGCTTGGTCAAACGGGAGTCAACTGTTGAAGCAAACTTCTCTAACGAAAGCCCGAACAGTTCTTCGGCTACGGCAGCAGCCTTCCCTGCAGCCCAAGCAGCCCCTTCGCGCTACACCTTTACTTCTCGTAGAGGAGCTGCAATCACATAGCTTTAAACGGTCGTCCTCAAGGCAACGCAGCAGTTCGTAGCAGGTTTAACAAACGCTGTTGAAGTGCTGCAGCCAAACCAAGCTTACGAGGCCCGGAGTAAAAAGCGGCAGGAGTGCCGCAACCAACAACCAAATGCTGCAGCTGCCAGCAAGTACAACCGCAACAGCCAGTAAGTATACTGCAGTTAAGAGCCTCCTTTTACAGCAGCAATGACCCGTAGCACTCAACAGCAACTAGCAGCGACTTGCATTTTCAACTTGCCTCTAACCAGCTCCAAGTAATATGAATAGCACACCTGCTGGCTGACATGTCCGCAGCATCACCGTCGTAGCAGCAAGCCTTTCGAAAACAAAGCGCAACAGCAACTTTCCTTTAGAACCACGTTGGCCCTTGTACCCACATTCGGGTACACAGCAAGGAATAACACCACCAACAGTAACTCGTGTCCAGCAGCAGTAACAACAACTATGATCTAGGAGCAACACGTTTTTCGTCATTTCCAGGTAAGAGCCTGCAGCAACAGATGAGTAGCGGTTCCGCAAACCGCAACTCATCGAGTAATAGCGGTGTCCCCCACTTACTTAGCGCTCGGACTCCGGTTCTGTAGTCATCTCGACATGCGAGCGGCCACCATCAGCAACAACAGGAACCTGTGCACGTACCAGCCACGCAGGCCACTACCATGGCCCGATACCTCCTCTTCTCACCAAGCTATAGCCTCAGATCGCTCGAACTGTGACTACCAGCCACCGCCAGGTAAATCAGCCTGTCTCCACGACGGTAACTGTCCCCCGATCGTCCGACCAAATTCGCTTAAGATCAGCTGTAACAACGAGTGGGGAAAGGCCTGCCAATTAGACGAGCAGCCATGCAGCTTCCCAACGGAACAGCAGGCTCGTCGAGGGTGAATCTTCCACTAGACGATGGGTAGGTACACCCGGGGACCGCACAAAAAGCGCAGGTAAGCCTTCTTTTACCTCGCTCCTCGCTCTCGTATACACCTCTGCTAATATACCGGTGAATGCGCCCCTTCAGAATATCGAGCCCCCTTTTGCCCGCACTCACGGGCTCACGGGTACACCCGACAGGTAAGCTTCCATCCCACAGTTGGCCCTTTCGCTGCCCCCGCAGGTAAGCAAAATTCGAATGAATCTTCCGCTAGAACGCGGAAAGATACATCACCATATTTAGGCCTTTTCCCTCCCGGCGCAATACCTCATACCTATGCCGCCCAAATCCTCGATTTATCCCCAAATCTGGGTTAGCCACCAACCTCGCCCTGGCAAGAAACGCGGGGGACAAGTCTTCATCTGCCCGATCTCGTCGACATATGGGCACAAAGCAACTTCCTTCATTCAGAATATGCCACCATCTTCGTTACGTCTTCACGCAACACTTTTCTCTTATACTAACTGGCACTGACGCTCCATAGTTAAACTAGCTCTCCCATTTAACTCGCAACGGCCCAAAACCCCTACTTACCATCTTGGTTCGTCGAAATTGGTCAAGAAATGACCCAGGTAAGTCGTTTTTGCCCCCGACGATATAGCCTGTTTCTGCTCCCGCCATCTCCCCACGCGCCTTACTTCTCTCTTGCCTCAAGTTCTACTAACTCTAGCCCCAATCTGCCTCCACCACGATGGTCGCCCGGGGTCGAAACCCCGGAACCACCTCCTCCCTTGCCTGATTCCGCTAAGCAACGGGGGAAATCCCCCATCTTCCTCTCTCCGCAACTTCCTTTCCGCCATAGCCTGGCGCACCAATCTCTCTACTAACCTCTATTCCACTAACTTATCTCCTAATCCTAACTCATATTCGAGGTCGCCATCATCAAAAACGTCGGACTCGACTCTCGGCCCACCCAATTTCATCAAGGATTGAGCAAGCTACGAGCTTTTCAGGCCGGCATAGCCATTTCCACTATGGAATGAACCTGGTGCGATATCTCGCCCGAGTCCATTCATTCCTCAAATGCCCACGCCTCAGTTCCCGACTCCCCTCAACACCGCGCCCATCCGTTCTTCAGCCCGCTGGCTGCACTCGGCCAGCCTCCTCCATTGCATGTACCCGACGCCCTTTCCCGCCTAGGTACATCTGCCCTCTTCCTACCAGCCCGTCACTCCCATGTCCGCTGTTGCCCGTCGCTCCCTGCCCGTTGCCTGCTCCGCCTCGCCTCCCCTGTTTGGCACCGTAGCTGCGCTGCCTTAGCGCTCGTCCGGCAGTCGCCCCTTCGCAGCCTATCCCGCTACCTACCTCGCCGCTCCGAATGCACCTAGCGCGTGGTGCGTCCCGGTTCACCCACTTCGTCCCTGACTCACGATGAGTAAACTACGACCCCTCCCCTTCCGCCATACTCACCTCTCCTCTACTCCGCGTGTACCAGGCCCCTTTCCTTCCCAGGTTCGCGTCTCTACTTCCACCACCCTGTCGGCTTGTTGACGTCAACCGGGATAAACACCCCGGGCTCGGAGATAGCGCGGCGCCAAGGATTCAGGACGACCAGACAATAACCAACAAAAAAAAAGAGAGAAGCACCGCTCCTACTTTATATGGGTCCGCCCTCCCACAGGGCCAGGCCGACCTCCTTCACATCGCTCGAGCCTCAGCGGACTTCCCGAAGGACTCAGCCGGGGCGATACCCCCTTGACCCTTCGGGACCAATGCAACCACAATGCCGCTTTGCCTCAATGCCCGAACTTGGCCCGCCTCTCAGAGGTTATGCGTGCCAGCCTTGCACAGGGGCCATGCGAATCTTCTCTGTATCGTTCCAATTTTTAACTGATGTCCCAAAGGACACAGCCTGGGCCGTGGGAATGACTGGCCCCAGGCGGTTCTGGACGTTTGGCCCTACTCACCACGGCCCATCATCTGGGTTCGAACTCGGCCTACATTTCAACAGGTCAGGGGTGTACCTACTGAGCTAGGCCCTTAGGCACCTGCCACACCCGTGGCACCGCGTCTCAAGCAAGACGGCTTCGGGCGCGGCTTCAGCGCAGCTACGAAAGCAGTTTATAATTGCACTTCAGGCAACCCTGCAAATACAACACCACCCCCCCCCACGGCCCCGCCACCGTCTCGCGTCCCTAAACGGGACGCGACAACGAAGGGGCCAGAAATAATAAAACAAAGGGAAAGGTAAAAATAAGAGGGCACAGCCAGGGGACCGCGGGGCTGCCGGCGCCGCGTCAATCCCGCGGGTCAGGCCAGCTGCCGTGCTCGTAAACAGAACCGAGGGGGATAGCCCCGCAGGCCCTCAACCCCTCAGGTTTCGCTCCACGCTGCTCCGCTGTCAATGCGTCGACGCCCGCTGGCCTCGATCCCTGAACCTCCGTTTCGCCAACCCAGTGCCGTAACCTATAGGGCTAATCCAAAGCCTGAGACCAATATCCGTAGGGTGCCATACGAGGCGGTGCGGCGCGGCGCTTTGGGCCAACAAACCGGCTGCGCGGCTCCTAGTGCCCGCGCTGGCTTGCTTATACCGCGCCATAATTGCCCCGCGCACCACCCTACGACACCTCGCTCACCGCACGAAGTCGCGCCGTCGTTGCCGATGCCGTCGTCGGGGTCGTTCTCCGCACGCGCGCTCGACTTGGTCAAACGCAGCCATCGAAAGAAAATATCCCCTAGATTCTACTTTAATGAAGGGTAACCAAAAATAGAACTTAAAAACTAAAAATAAACAGACCGGCGCCCGCGCCGGTTTCGTAATCAATATTAGGGAAGAATCACGGGCGCCTTAAACCTGCGCGCCCACGCACTATTTACTCTAGTCAATCAACCAGTCAACGTAAATTACAGGCGCTGACGCTCCTGGCGCGGTATACTTGAACTTTAAACCAAACTACTTTCTGTCACTTGCAAAAACCAGGGCGGATACCCTTGTAAGGGTATTCGCACCGACACCGTGCTTCTCCATGCATTCCGTCAGCGCTTCGAAAGTCTGCTGCCTCGTGCTCTTCCTCTCGCTGAAACCGGCATGGCTACCCGTCGTCTGCGAAGAACCTCTCGTCGACCCGTTGTCGTTGTCTTCGTGCCCCGCAACAGCGTCCCCATCCCCCACAGAATCAGGATCCGCAGAAGTGGTGGACGGCAGACGCACCCCACCCGGAGCACCACTATCGGCGACGTTCTTCGGGTTGATGGTGTGGCTCTTGGCGATCGACACCAGAATCTCGTCGTAAATGGCACGATCCATGTTGAAATTCAAGCCCTTCGACAACCTCTCCTTCCAGAACAATGGGAAGAAGTCATGTTTCCCCGACAAGCATTGAAAGCGATGCACCTTCTTCAACTGCTGCATCAAATTGTCCCACTTCTTCCCGCACTGTTCGGCTTCTCTGTCCACGCCCACCTTCTTCAACCTCTCCTCCACATCCAACCACTTCCATTCTCACGACTTCATACGACCGAACGCAGTACCCATCTCCTGTAGATAAGCGTACTCGTCACGTTTAGCCTGAATGAGGGCTATCATGTCGTCCGCGGACCTGAATTGACGACCTCCTTCTGCATCACCGTCAGCTTCGTCATCGCCCCCTTTCCCCGCCGGCTTTTTCCTCTGGCGAGCATTGCGAGGGCATGCCCTCGTCTGCCCGCCCCTCCCTCCCATGGTGGTCTGCTCCAACGGCGATACGTGGCCGGCGTCGTCCTGCCCACCTTCAAAGTCATCGTCGTTGCAGTCCTGATCGTCCGCGCCCACCGCAGGCGCGTCGCCTCCATTGTCGTCGTCCTCCACACACAATCGCTGCACCCCCCGACTTATGGATTCCTCCCGCCGTGGATGAAGCGTTCATCGTTGTTCTGCCCACACGTCCCTCCCGTCCGGTGTATCACCAACATCGTCGATGCCACAATCCGTCTTCCGGCATTCGGCTCGACGGCGGCCTGCAGTGGAATTGGCGGACAGGGGAGACAAGGACTGCATCCACAGGGGGCGAGCTAACACACCCCTTGACACACATGGCGTCCGGTATTGCTGCCTCGGAGGATCCCTGTTGTTCCCAGGCGCCTCCCGGATCGGCGCTAGAGACTTCGACGACCGCGAAACAACCGTCACTTGCCCGCCGTCGTCTTCAGCGTGGTTGTTGATGATCACCGTTTGCGACGCAACCGACGACCTCCCGCTACACAGCCCGAATGACACATTGACGCCGCCATCGCTATGAATCTCCCTCGGCGGCGGCCGTCTGCGGACAAGTACGCGGACGCGCGGTGCCGTGGCGGCCGAAACGGAGGTCCGTTCGGAAATCGGTAACTGGCTCCCGGCGGCGCATGAGCGTCCCCAGGCCCATGCATGGAAAAAAAAAAAAAAATTGATTTTCTAGGGGGGTTAATTTTTGTCCCCTACGAGGGTAAAAAAAAAAATACAACCCCCCCCCATTTCACAAATTTTTCGAAGCGGGGGTGTTTGACAAGTCGCAAGGCACGTATAGGGAAAAAAAAAAAAATTCCAGTGGTGGTTGGGGTTTCTGGGAGGGGGTTGTATTTTGGGGGGTTTTATCGTGTGTCGGGGAGGCTGTGGAGGGCAAAAGGTGTGGGGTTCGAAATAGTGGGTTGGTTGAGGTGTGTATTTATACATAAGTCAACACAAGTCGGCAGAGTAAAACACATTGGGACATTTTTCATTCTGCAATTGACATGAACTGATGGTTTCAAAACATATGACATGGAGATCAGGAACGCAAGTCGTACATTTCGCCGGGAAAAAGCAATGCAACTGCTGCACGAGTCGTAGAACATGCGATATACCACTCAAATCCCCGCAAACACAAATGTACTGTCAAACGAGTGCTCATCCTGTGACTCCTATCCACACACATAAGAAAACTACATACTCTCCATATGTACAGACGTCATCCTCATAAAAAATAAAAAAACAAAAAGAACAGTTGTCACTAGTATACATATGTCTCATAAAAATGAAGAAATAAAAATTGTACCACAAAGAACCTTCGCGAAACTAAAGTACATATGAGTCCAGACTCCTGAGACTACACACAAACCGTCCGACGCCTTGGACTACACAGGAGTCCTGGGAAGGCGAAAAAAAAACACATAAATAACTGTGAAACTAAAGAACATATGATAAACTATTAAAAGACAGCGACCAACGAACCGAACAATGGGGAACATCCACATAAACAGGAGGACATATCTACTGCCCCCCGCCCCTACCTCCTCGTCGTCGTCCCCATGTGGATGGTGTCTTATGTGTCCCTGCCGCGGCCGATCTTTCCCTCTCTCTCTCCCTGCGCCTTACAACCTCGATGGCCTCCTCCTTTGTGTAGGCCTCTCAGGCACGCGCCGTCGCCAACCTCGCGCGCTCCTTGAGCAATGTGTCACTCAAGTCTCTCAATCGCGCCTCGTCCCTAGCAATACGAGACTGTATCTCGTTAATGGTGGTGTGAGATCGCTCTCCACTAGGCGCCGGCACACCGTCCTCTCCGGAAGTATACAACGCAAGCGCGGCCATACGTGAACCTAAAAGTAAGCCTCTACGCGCGCCGTATCTAGGCATGCGGAGAATGTGATAAGCAGTACTCAAACTCGGTGCTGGACTCTGCTCCTCCCTCAACCGTGCCTGATGCGCCGCGAAATCACCCCGCACACCGTCGTCAACTCGTCGCACTATGATCCACGAACGGTGAAGCGACTGTTGTGTGTCTAGGCGAGGCGATGACGACGAGGACATGTGGCCTCTCTCTCTCTCCCTGCCCGTGACAGTTGTCGGACTGCCGCAGATCGTAGTCCGTGGAGGAGGTGTGACTGAGGGGATGCGAGTCGTGCGTGCACCCGAAGCCGCTGCTCTAATAGACTCTGAACGTTGCTGCTTGCGCTCCAAGCTCGCAGGAGAGCCGGAATACAAAGGGCTCAAAGGTGTGTACAGCGGAGGCGAGCAAACTACGACACCGACACATCCTGCAGGTCGTGTGATAATCGGATCCTCCATTGCCGCACGGTGCAACTCGTCAGGGTCAAGTAGGCCAGGTGTAATCTGCCCCTCCTCCATATCTGCTCTATCTGGGTCAGTACGGTCATCTGCCGTACCGCCCTCCCCCTCCTCATCAACACCACCTCTACCCTTCGCAGGATGTGACGCATCCTCGGGCGCGACGAGTGAAGGATGACACAACACCAACGCCCACGACATACTGCTTCCAGCATCGTCTACATGTGCATCGTCCTGTACAGGTCCACATGCGTCAACCCCAATCGACCCGTGTGTCGATCGACCTGGACCGGTGCTGTGCGCAGGTGCAAGACGGTCGGCATCACCCGCCCCATCATCGCCCTCCGCATCGGGTATGCGGCGTCCATCAAACTCGCCTGAATCGTCATCCATGGGAACTGCCTCCTGAGTGGCTGCATCGCCTGGCTGCAATGTGCCCGCCGCACACAACCCAATTATGACGTCGGACACGGCCAGATCGCCATACTCAGACGCACCTAACTCTCCTCCCGCGGCAGACCCGGAGTCCACATCTCCCTGGGGTGACGTCTCGGGCACTGCGGTATCGGGTATCGCTGCGCCGGCTGGAAACGCGTGCGGGACTGTACGAACGCTATGCTCTACCCCACTCTCATCGCGGACTGCAGTACCCGTCTCCAAGTCTCTAGCATGCTGCTGCTTAGCCATGTACTTATCTCTGCCCACCCACTCTCTCTGCAACTGCTCTAGCCGCTGCTCCTCCTCTCGATCCATCCGAGCATGGACCTCCTCCACGGACTCTGGACCACCACCCTGCACAGGATGGTACTCGGCCTCATCCCCCACTCTCTCTCGCCCATCAGCCCGCCCTCGAACACCACTGCCCGCAAATCCGGGTCCAAGGCCTAGAAAGTCACTCGTGCGCAACTCCCTCTGCGGACTGTCGTCTCGAGGTGCCAAGGCGGGCGTATGCTGGCTCGGCAAATGCTCCTCATCTCTGATGTCGTCTAGGTGGTCTGACGCCTCGCGTCTACCACCTGAAGTCGATCCCGCCTGCGTCTGCTGCAGCCTCGCCGATCTCCTGAGACCCTCGGCGGCAGGCGCGGGCCGCACGGCTCCCTGCTGCGCCAACCGTGCTCTGCGAAGCAGTAACGGCTCGTCGTCGTCGTCATCGTCTGCGTCGTCCGTGTCTCGCTGTCCACCATCCAACCCTACATCGGTGGCGGGGATGGGATCGTCGTCGCTCTCGCGAATGAATGTGCAGCGTGGCTGGAATCCATCGGCTCCTCCTCCGTATGTGTAGTAGAGTCTCTCCGCACTCTTATCTACACCAGGTGGTAAATCCTCTCCGACCTCCGTGTCCGTCTGCTCCTCCGACGCCTGCACTGGCTCTGCTGGCGGTGGAGGCACGTAGTCGTAGAGATGGAGTATCTCGGCTCTGGCACCGAAAACCTCGGCAACCCCCGCTGGCCGACGAGCACCCTGCTGCTGGAAGTAACGAACCTGTGCAGCGATCTCGTGTGCCGACACTGCTGTCTGAGGTCTAGCTCCCCACTCCTCTGGCTCAGGCTCCTCCTCCTCATCCTCATCTGCGACTACCGGGTGTGTATACTCCTCTGGCTRCGCCTCAGCCARGGTCGCCATGTGACCCCRYGGAAGAACGTACCCCCCACTCCGCTCGCTGCATCCAAGTAGTTTGAGATTTGTAGCAATCTCAACTAACTGCGCGACCTTCCTGAACTCGAGCTTATTGCGCTTGACCGTGTGGATGCGCTCATGCTCTACCCAATTCCACTCAGTAGGAGAGGCGGACGTCCACATGTGCATCACACGGCCAGCGATCTCCTGCAAGTCCGGGAAGCATGCGCCGTGCTCCAACTACCATGACGTGCACCTGCTCGTCTCCTCGTCCCCTACACAGGCCTCCGCCTCGGCGTCCCTCGTCACCCTCTCTTTGTGGTGGTCGACCCTGGAGTGGAAGGATCGCATCTGCTCACGCACCCGCAAGTATGCATCCCCAGCACGATCACCGCCTGTCTGCGCCAACAAAAACGAGTCGCACTCGGTGACGACCTTGAGGTCCGCAGCTGTCCTGCGGGCGGACTCGTAGTAACGGAGAGAGCGTCTGCGGGGGTTGAGCAGGTGCGCCGCAGCGTGCACAGGCTCGAGCATATGCATAGTGCGGATCTGCACCGCCTCCACGCAAGGCCCCCGCATGTCATCAGGGACGTCAGCAACAGCCACCTGCCCTACCAACTCCTGTGACCAAGAGTACATCGTGGACATGATCATGCCGCCCCTGTCCAATCTCCTCAGCAGCTGGTGGACAGGGGTCATGACTGCGACAGCGTGCTGAACGTTGCGCCAGAAATCGGCGCAGCAGATGAGCTGTCGAACCCACAAAGCGTGTCTACGCTTCGACGACTCCCATGGGATCGTGTCCCACTCGTCGTCATGAAGCATGCTCTCCAAGGCATTACACCTCGGCAACAAACACACAAACATCAAAAAAACTGACGCGAATCGCGTCTCCACTGGGTGCACAAGTGTGCAGCGACGGCTTTTCACCATGAACAGGTGATAAGCCGCGCCGTGCAATTTAATGAATCACACCAACGCCCGAGCCCTGAAAATGGTGTTCGTAACCCAAGGAACCCGTGTCCCGATGTCAGACAACATCAAGTTGGCCACGTGGGTGGCACACGGGAGCCAAGTGATACGGCGAATGTTCGGATCAGAGTCCTTTGCAAGGAGCTTTGTGGCCAACGTATAGTTCGACGCAGAGTTCGTGCAAATGGCCAACACGTCCTTCGGAGGGAAAGACCGAAAAATGGCCTTCCACCTCCTCAAGACGATCTGTGCTGTCTCGGACACTGAACCGTCTCGCTGGACGGTGGCGTATAAGAGGGCACCGCGCTTGGCGGCTGCGAGGAAGTTGACTATAGGCCTAGCGTCTCGCGACTGCCTACCGTCCGACAAAATGGTGGCCCCTATCGACTCAAACAAACTACGGACCTCCATCAACATCGCGGCAACCTTCCCTCGCTGCTCATCAATACCAGCGCCCCCGATGTCCTTGAAGGACGGATAAACTGGCCGCACTCCGTGAGGCATGAAGGCCAACTGCTTCTTGTGCCGAAGCCATGACTGCCTCCTAAATGCAGCGAACGGAATACCGGCATCGTAGGCCCACTGCAAAAAAGTGTCCCTGAATCCAGCCTGCGCATCCGGATCGTACACCTCGTCCAGTCTTGACTGCCGCTGTCTCTTGCGCCCCTGTGGTACGCCCTCAACTCCACTCTCCACCGGCATCTTTCCTCGCGCAGTCATAACCACATCCTCTCCCGGCATATCGGGTGCCGGGCCTGCCCCTCCACCCTCCTCACCGCCCCGAGCCTCTGCTCGCCTCGCCTCCTCGACAAGGAACTCCTCCACCTCCTCCACAGCATCACGCTCCTGTGGTCGTGACTGTGTCCCACCCGTCCGGCCCCTGCCACTGCCCTGATGGACGTCCACGGGTCGTCTATCCGCGATATCATGCTCCCTCATGAACGCCATGATACCGCGGTGATGACGGTCATCGAACTTGTACTCTGTATGGTTCCAAATGTCCACAAACACGTCCATCGTTGCCGCCGCGCACCTCTTCAGCTGCGTGAAGTGCCGCTGCGCCTTGAACAAATTGCCCTGCCACACATGCTTGCAATAATTGCAGCGGAGTTTGTAGTCCCCGTGCCTCTTCTGCCACGTCCCCAGCCTCTGACCCTGCGCCACATGAGGCCACACTCTTGACTTCCTGCGTAGCTCATCCATCTGCACGTCGGTCGCTGGAACGAAATCGCTGCCTCCAGAACCGCCCGCACCCCCCGTCATTTTAGACGACAACAGGCTAAGCCCCTGGAAACTGAATCACCAACCCCCCCCCCCCCCTCCCCCTCCGCCAACCCCAACGAGTCCCGAGAACCACTCCCGAGGACTTCGATGTGTCTCGCCTTCGCAGCAGGCCCAGGCGGTTCTCCGTGTGGGCCGCGGCCAACTTCAACCACGCGCGGACGTCGACAACTCCGCGCGGCCTTGAATACGTCCGCGGATCGGTCCGCGCGGCCTTGTTTGTGGCCGCGTCCGCGGCGGCCGATGGTGGGTGGTCGTGTGTGTCGCCGTCTTTGCCCGCGCACCGCGAGCTGTCGTTGAGACCTGAAAAAAAAAAAAAAAAAACACAATCAATCACTCGATCAACCAAGAAAATCAATCTAAACTAAACAATCAATCTAATCAATCACTATACTCAATCAATCAATCTAATCAATCACTGCACTTGATCAATCAATGTAATCAATCAATCAATCAATCAATCAATCAATCAATCAATCAATCAATCAATCAATCACTCCGAGACATCAAGATCCTAGGATCTCGATTGGTTGGAATGATTGATTGATTTATTGATTGATTGATTGATTGAACACACACACACACACACACA